CTGAGAAAATGAGCTTCCAACAGTTCCTAAGCGTGTACCCTAATCTCTAAATATAGTATGTTCTGTAAAGTATCTGCATCATGTGGTAACTTTCATGTATACGTTGAAATAGATTTTCTGTGTAAGATGTGAGTAGGCAGTAAATTATTCAAAAAATAAAAGTAAGCTAATTTGGCTGCAGTCAAGTTTTAATATCTACCATTTTAACAGTCAAAGCAAGAACAGCCTGATCTTTTCAGAATGTCCACACAAACTGGGAACAAAGTCAGTCTCTTCTGTGTAGAGGACAATTCTGAGAAAACACTTTCTAAACCTTGAGTGATTCATCTGATAAAAGCTTCTGACAGCACTTTGAAATTAGCAGCAGTTTAGGGAAACATCTGTACACAGGTCTGATTTATAATTTTACATGAATCTTTGTAAGAGGTCATAGAAGTGAAACAAATTTTTACAGAGCACACAGAGACTACCCACTATGTTTGATTTCCATCTACAGATACTAACTTATTAAGGCTTATATATATATATCTTAAAATGTGCTTCCTAAAAATAAAAACTCTCGTTAGTATTCACTTCATAGATGTCTTAGAAACTTAGTTGAACTGGTTGGACAATTAACAGTACAACACCTGATTTCAACTAGCTGCTTCCACATATACTAATCACAGAAGTTACTGCACATGATAATGCATAATTATTTACATAGCACTGATTTGAAATGTCACAAAGCATATTACAGTAGAAGAAGATTTCTTATGCAAACATACTGTACAGCATCTTAAATAATGGCCTTTACAGTGCATTACCTCGGAGGAGCCTGTCTGGTGTAAGGGGAAGAGCTGGATCTGTGAGCAGAGCTACGATTCATGAAAGACATGCCCAGCAGACGAGCTGAAGACTCACAGTCCTCCTCATCCTCGTCCATGTCATTTTCTCCCAGGCCTCGCACAAGTAACCGTGAGCTACGAGGCTCATATGCCACCTCATCTGGGTCAAGAGCAGGGAACGTCTAGAGAGAGCATGTCCAGTACACTCTGTTATTCTCTTGTTAAACTGTGCAGTGTTTTCCATAAAATAATAACAACTGGAAAGCCTCCCCAAGTAAATTCATTAGTACAGGGCAAGATGTCATATGTAGAGACAGTGAGAAGAGTGAGTGCAGATGCAGGTATAAGTAAAAATAATCACAACAGAGAGGACTCAATAAAGAACAAGCCACAGATGATAGCTAAATTCTCATGACTGAAGGAGGTGCGTTATATTAGGATTACGGCTGATGCAGAAAGAAAAGACCCTGACCATGAAGAATGCAAAGGTAGATCAAAGTTTGCTTGGTGTCACACAATGTGAAAGGGGAGAAATTAACTTTGTGTTTACAAGACTTTGTCTATGCAGCTTTATGATACAGCGTGTCTGTGGTGACAGAGGTTTAATAAACTGCAGCCCCGAGGAGAAACATATTGCTACTATTAGCGCAATCTAGTTACAGCATTGTCATCATATTAAAATGAAGTTCCCTTTTGCTCAAAGTAACTGATTTAATTCTGATGATAGATAGATGCACCTGATAGCTACAAAATAATCTCAAGGCCAGCAAACGATGTACTGAGCTGAGGGACCTCAAACAAGCACTTCTGGTTACACCATAAGCGTTGGCTATTCTTGAATCAACTGATCCTCATTAAGATTACCCCATACTGTTCACAATATTAGTAACTGAAACTGTCCTACCGGAAATGCAGTGGAGTCTTTGGCCAAATCTACCACGTCAGGCTCTTCTTCAAACATGCTGTTCTCAATCATGTTCCTTGGCAGGTTGGCGTGCTCTGCAACATATAGAGGAAGAGAAATCAGACACAAGATTCTCAAAAAGGGAAGAGAGAGTGTGACAAGATTGATGTATCAGATTACAAACGATTGCATACATTGACACTTACACAGGGTGTATCCTGTCACATATGCAAACATATGTACAGTGTTTTTGGAGTTTTAAAGTTTTCCACAAAGAGTAGTGGGAACAAGACACCGAAAACACAAAGGCTTGTTGTTGTTTTTGTCACTGAACGAGCAGGAAACATGAAACCATGTTTAAAAAAGCACTGACTTGAGTTTTTGCAATTTCCTGTTAGAACACCTCTAACAGTATTTCCTGGTACTCTGACCTAAATAAAACTGGTTAATCTTGCTGGTGAGAACCTGTTAAGTACTGGTACACCAAATCTGTCAAGAGCAAAACGACTCTCTTTATTCCACAGTTAATTTGCTGAGCTGCAATGAAACTACATGAGAAAGTCTGACTAAGAAAGAGCAGATACCATCTGACCATGCCACATGCTACTGCAGTGTACAAAAGCTTGCACCTCCTGAAACTAACCTGCGCCTTCAGCATCATGACAAGAGTTAAGCCTTGTCTTACAAAATTCATGTAATTTTCTGGCAGCCAGACTCTCTCCCATCAGTAATTCCTGAAACAATCACAGGCATGTTCAACTTCTTAATTCAATATCTAAAGTAGTGAAATGCTGGGCAATGCAAAACTCCTATTTTGCCTTGCAATCCATTCATGCTTTTACAAGCCAAGGACAATGCATTTCAGTCTCAGCTGTTGATGAATTTCAGTGGTGGAAAGAGAGAATGCAAACTTGCAGTGAATACATGCTGTTCATTCAAAGACTAGGACAACTAACAAAGATGAGCTGTAACTCCCCCCCTAAAAAGCCAACAGCTCAGAAATGTGACAAGTTATTAATTTGGCTTCTTGTCTGTCCAGTACAGTGTTTCTGATATGACTGCAAGTGTTGTAACATTCTTGCTGTCTAGACCTCACTGCTGTGGTATGAATGTCTATTAATAGGCTAAGAGCTAAGTAGTAGGTACTGTGTAATGTCCAGAAAAGTTTGTGATTCAAAAATTAATGCACATAGAAACACATTTATTTTGTCAAATCTTCTGCTTACAGCTGTGGGGACACTGTTGTTATGATAAAAGATGTTTCATATAAGAAATATGATAAATTCAAAACATTTATTAATCCTACTTTAGCATCACAATGCTTAAGCTAAATAATATGTCTGAGTTTGACTGGTGTGTCCGATAATCCAGGTCAAGTGAGAACACACTATCGACACAGTATATAGTTGTACAGGACTGAGCCATAATGCTGTTAGTTACTGCTGGTTGGTTGGCCACTTAACCCATAAAGGAAGGAAGAATCTGCAAAGGCCTTCACATCATTATCTGATCAAAATGTGATTGTGAAAGTAAAAAAAATGTCACAACCCAGAGCACACACACAAGAAAGAGGAAGTCAAGCTGCTTTGATTTGGTTGTAGCTCCTTCCAGTTCAAGAATACTCAGCTTTCCTGAGAGGTATTATGGTGTGTGCACTTGCCTTTTTGTTTGTTTTAATAAAGCCCTGGACGCCCTGGGAGCACAGCAGAGGCAATAAAGCAGCTGACTGCTGGTAGCCGGAGCTGAACATGACTTATCAGCTCTCCACACAAAAGACAAAACACAGCTACTAGCAAGCCAACAGGCTTAAACAGGGTAAACAGTGCTGCTGTGTTTTTACAGGCAACTTCAGTCCTAACAGAGGAGGATACTATCTTTATGTCAAGAGTCCGTTAAGAAATGCATTGCTGTCATTGTTCAGATCATTAGTACAAATAAAATCAAAACGTTGCCTGAATAAACCACAAAGCTCATTCTGCTTTGTGTTTATGAGGAAGAGACAGTCGTATGCAAATGTTATCATGCTACTGCAGGACAATCAACAAACACTGAGATTAAGTTAGCTTCTGGGAATTCCTCAACTGTAAAACGAAACCAGTTACCCAGAAAACATAAAGTTGCAGTCATTTGCCTTGCCAAAAGCCGATTCCTATCTTTCTCAACATGTGTCCTCGGGTGAATGTCACTCCCTGAGAGCTTGCAGCCACTGTCCCGATAGTCATTAGCTGGCCTGCTGCTGTTAGCTTGCTGTTACAGTATCCACTGTCCTCCTTCCTTACCTGTGCTGTTGCTGTCAAACAGATCCATGGTAGGATATCGCCAAGACCTCCTTACGCCAAGAACCGGGGACCCTCCGCACGTTTACAGACGCTCGGCAGACGTGCTGTTTTTATAGCCGGCCACAACCCACCGCAGGCTATCAGACGCTCACAATAAATAGCAGCCAACCCCCACTGTACTAACGTTAGCTAACTACGTAGTAGCTAGCTCGGGACTAGCCAACTTCTGACAATTGCAACTGACTGAAAGACATTCAGTGAGCTAACGTTAGCCGCTTTCCATAACTTTGTCGCCCATAGCTGCTTATTAGGAAAATGCGCGAATACGACGGGGTTGCCTCACAATATAAAACGTTAAGCTAAAAATATTTGAACAAGTCTTCCTCTGGAGTCACTCGGTAAACTAACACACGAGCTAATGACACTTTTCTTCCTCCCCGACCAGTTGTTGACAACGTCCCATCAAATTACAGCGCTGACATCTGATTGGCTGCTACTGCCGGGGGGCGGGGCCAAGACGACACACGCACATTTGTTCACTGATTTGCTGCACTTGTAAGGACATGGTAGTTCTTTACATTCACTGCATGGAGGTCAACCATAACTGTTTTATGCTTCCCCTTCCCCTTCCCTCGATCAAACTGGTCTTAAATTAACACTAAAAACAAGTCTGAACTCACAAACAAACAGTTAACATGATGACTATCAAACACATTTTTCCAGAACATTGTACTGTTTTCAGTTCCTGGAAGCCAGCCCAAGCCTCAGCTGTAACCTAGAAATATTTTTTCATGAATAGCTTATTATTACCTTACGTTGTGCAGCAGAATGATCTGGTTATGCGAGACTACTAATAGCTTAACAATAACTAATATGATGAATGCGAAGTGCATACAGACAGGCAGACACAAAAGCGCAGACATGATGGCTCTGCTTACATGAACATAATACAAGGATGTGTTTCAGTTAACACAACACACACAAAGGTGCCCAGAGGTACAACGAATGAACCCTTTTATTGTCCATTTGGTAAAGAGTCCATTTACACAGCATTTGTGTGCCACTTTGGAATGGATCCCTCTGTCTCTCACACTCACTCACACACACACAAGACAACACAATATCCATGTTACACGCACGTCTCCAACACATAACCCTCCCAAAAAATTACAATTTCTCAAATATAAAACTGTCATCTCTTTGCTGATGTGTTGCATTAAATTTCCAAAAAGAAGCACACATACAAATTAAAAAAAAAAAAAACATTCAAATATCCCTTCTGGGCTATGCTGGCAACCACCACCTCTCTCTCTGCTGTCTTCACTGCATCTGCTCATTCAGCCAGTTTCTCAGGGTGTCGAGGTTCCTCTGAACCCAACGGACATTTTTGTGCACATTGTCCAGAGCCATCTGAGTGGCTCTCAGCTGAGAAGCCTGCTCTTTGATGGACTCAAAGAAGAGCTGCACCTGGGGGTCAAACATACATACATTTAAACAAACACAATCAAGGATAAAACTGAAGGAAAACTGACAAATATTTCCTCACAGCACTATAGTAGCAACAAGGTTAGCACACATTTAATAGAGTTATTATTATTACAATGATTATTATTTCATGTCACTAAATTTGAGTCCAAATTCAGGTGCAAAAACATTAACATTTCTTTCAGGACATTTAACATTAGTTTGACTTTATCACTAATTTAAGTTCTCATTAAATTATGTAGAAATACCAAATAAAACACAGCAATCAACTTCTGGAAAATAATGGCAACATTTTTGATTACGCCAAGACCAGTGCCAGGTAGTATAAATACCCTGTCTGTATACAGGTGGATGTTCAAATTGCCTTGTACAACATAAAGTAGTTCTGTATTTAAGAATGTATTTACGTCTTTGAGTTCCTCTTGAGATGAAAACTGGCCCGTGGTGCCAATGATGATGTTTCTAATACAAAATGAGCCCAACTGGAACCTGCAAGTCAGAAAGACGACAGAGAAGATAGTCTCAGAGCAAAGTTACGTTTGTGGTACAAGAAGGTCCTTATAAATCAAAAACCTGCTCCACTTGTTCTAAATAAACCACACTGAAGCCACTAGAAAACGAAGTCTTACAGTAAATACATCCAGTCCACAAGACCAGCTGGAGGAGGTTCTAGAGTGCATAAATACTTGGTAAAATGTTGTAATATTTTAAAAAGCTATGGAAAAATGCAAGGGGGATGTATGTTTGCTACTTTGCATGTTCTCCCTGTGCAACATGGGTCGTCACCAGGTGCTCCTACTTCCTCCCACAGTCCAAAGTCATGCTGAGGTTGAATAGAGATTCTAAATTGTTCATATGTGTGAATGTGAGGGTGTTTGTTTTTCTCTCTGTGTAGCCCTGTGACAGACTGGTGACCTGCCCAGGGTGTCCCCTGCCTTCACCCTAATTCAGCTGGGATAGATTGCAGCCCCTACCGCAACCCTACCGAGTCTAAAGTGGTATATAGATAATGGATGGATGAATGGATGGAAATGCATCTGTGTGGCATCATGTGTGTTTTTACTGATAGTATAGGTCTTTTAGTCTCTCCATCTTGTCCTACTAACTTTTGAACCAGTGTGTCCCAGTTCTTTTTGACAAAGCTCCATGCAAGGTTACATCCCCGTGGATTCCTGGCCACCATGAGGACGAGATGGGACAGGTCCTGCGATCGAATCACCTTCCCCTCCAGACCCAGATCAAGCAGTCTACAACACAAACACACACACAAACATTGCGGATGTAATTCTGCAGCATTGGCATATGTCACTTGTGTTGGTTTTACATGACATACATTTTTTGTATGACTTGAATGTTTTGGCAGCAGTGCTGTGTCATAACACTGCTTGCCACAAGGTGGCAGCATTAAGACATACCTTTGCAGTTTGTTAGTGTCTCTGCTGCTGGTGAGGGCAAACAGGATCTTGTGTTTTTGTGCTTCTGACAGGGAAATCTTATATGTGTTTAAGAGCGAGGCCCAACCATTGTCATCCTGAGCTCCAACTGAAAACACCGTCTCTACAACATCAGTGGGCGGGCTGGAGTAAACACAAGCAGGAACACGCACATTAGGGACAAGATGAAATATCAAATTATACAATCCACTGGCTCAGAAGAATTCTGCTGTTTATGTGAATCATGTCTGCGGTTGCTGACTGATAACAATGTGTGTTAAACTATAATTTAGACAGACTTGAGAGTTCCGTTGGACTGAAGCCAGTCTTTGAAGCGTTGACGTGCTCGCTCCAGACAAGGGGGGTAATCCAGGTGACAAGCCAGCAACAGGACCTCTGACCTCAGCCGTCGCTCTGACACAGAGCCACTGTCGCTCCATGTCTGCTGGTCAATGACGGCACGGAAAAATTGCAGGATGTACATCTGTCCAAAGACACACAGAAACAGCGACTCACATTAACTCAATTTTATACTGACACACAGTAAAAATCCTACAAACACTTTACTCTTGTCTTCTTACCCCCAGGTTTTGTGTTAAATTAAGCTCATCCCTTTTCTCAATTATATGGTAGAAGGCTTCCAGATAGCCCAGTCCTTGGAGAAGAGGCTCTGTGTGTGTCTCTTGCTTCAGATAACCAATCAGGTCTAAGGCTTTATTAAGCGGCAGATGGCCTGCTCTTTAGAGAGATACAAAAAGATTTAAAGGATGCATGCTATTTCATGTTGGATCAACAAAGATGTTCCTTTACAAACACGCAGGAAAGTACCAAAAGGTGACTGGTTGTCCCCCAGACACCCACAAACACGTGGACACAAACAAATACTTACGTGACCAATTGAAAGGCGTTGTGTATCAACTGCGTCCTGTCTTTGTAGCTCAGAGCGGTGTGGTTTTCCCTCAGTAGTTTGGCCATCACATCCCAACCACCGTCCTCGTAATGAACCACATACAAGCCTGTCATGTCAGTGTTTACCTTTACCCAGCTGGCTTCCTCTCCTATGTGTATGCTGTCTAAATGAAACATAAACAGCAAAAGACAGAACAGAAAGCTTTGTAATGGGAAAGAAAAGTTAGGGTTGCAAGATTTATGTGTGGCATTTTATCTCCCCCTTCTTACCTGTGGGCGATGTCATCAGGTGTCTGTGGATGGTGCCGGAGACGTCTGTCTTGTATGTCAGGGGGATATGCCAAAGGAAACTATAAAAGAGAGAAGAGTATTCACTGAAAAGTGTAAGTTCTCAAGTTTAAACTTGATCTTTACTTAAATCTAGTCTTAACAACAATGGATGGGGAGCTGTAAGAGTGAAAATACAGAGTAGAAGAGCAACATAGTGTGTGAAAAGAATCAAAAACGAAGTAAAAAACTGGACAAGTGTAAATACACACTTACCCCTGTTGCAACGTGGACCACAGAGGGTCAGAAGGCATCACAGTCCTCAGGAACCTGTCCTGTCTGAGCAGCAGACGAGGCCCCTTCCTCGTTACAGTCACCAGAGGAATACCTTTCTGCAGAGTCCAAGTGTTCATCATGGCTGTCAGGTCCAGATGTTCTCCTGCGAACAGGTACTGTAGGAGACAGAGGAAAGAAGATCAATACGTAAACTACAATATGTGACATTTACATGAGGCAATCTGTGAAGAGATGTCAGTGATGTGATGCTTCAATGTTTACGCACTGCATTCTTGGCGGCCTGGCCACTGTTGTAACAGTGTTTTCCTGAGATGAAGTCCTCCTCTGAGCATGTCTGAAAAAGAAAATAAAATGTAGCATTTCATTTTCCTTTGCAACTGCAGTTTTAATTAAAAACACATAACATGTTTGCATGGGAATTTAATACAAATCAGATGTACCTTAAAAATAGCAATGGTAAACAATAGTTTTTCCCATATTTTAGATGTGAGTTTTATTCCTCCATGACAGTCATCTATTCAGCACAGTGCACTTTGAGAGACTTTGATGTGCATGATATTGGTAATCCACCACAGAGAAAACTATGTCTACTTTAATCTTTTAGAGATATTTTTGCCTGGATGGGCAGTTTATTCTTTTTAAACCAATCTGCACTTAACAACTGCTTAACCAGGCACAGATACCACAATGTAGCCTGCAATGAAAACAGATATCATGTTCACTTTGATTGATTTCCTACTTTAAGTCTCAGCAAATTGATTTTTGCATTTTTGCAGAGAAAGGAAATAAAGTGTAGGACATCTGTAAATGGATCACTCTCTGTTTATTACCCAGTGATAATGCCAGGATCATAAAAAGGTGAATGATTAAACTATAAAATCAAACATCTTTACTACTTTTGTTCTAGTTCAGGTCAAACAATTCTCTGTTCTCTTCAGCTTCTTGATCCACTAATGTAGTCCATGCCACATACAGAAAAGCAGGCAAAATCCATGTTTGGTAAATATGTCAAAGACAGACTATCAATCATTTACACTGACCTGCCCCTTTTGTTTCACAAAGATATGAAAAAGAATTGCCCGGAGTATTAAACCATTAATGTAATTTGGATTCTTACATTGGCTAGACTGTCCCACAGGTCCTGATTGTGTGCATTTCTGTAGCTGTACTTGCGGAGGTATCGAACTATCCCACTCTGGAACACCTCATCTGTCAAAAAGTGTCGCAGCATGTGCAGAACGCATGCTCCCTGTTAGGGAAGAGAAAAGAAATATTTCAGCAGTTAACCATTTCTATTCAGCATAAACATATAAATCACTCGTGTCTTTACTGGCTCATCATCTCCATACATGACTTAGGCAACTAGAAATCAGTAATTTAAAGAAAAACTGACCAAAAATTCTAAAAAATTTACAGATACATTTTCACTGCTAAATATAGTCGGAATGATTTTTTCAGAATCAGTTGTGTGGTGCTCTTTTTGACCAAAAAGAATGAAAGCCTACTTTGTCATAGGAGACTGTATCAAACATCTCTTTGATCTGAGTGGGGTTCTCTGCTGGGCTGGATATAGGCCGAGAGGAGTTCAATGAATCATAACCAACTGCTGCAAAACAGGTGTGCAGTAGATATTCCTCCTGCAGGATTGGGAACAGAACATGAATATCAATCCTCCTTTCTGTGCTAAATATTAATTGATCAGTTAATGATTAAAGCACATACCACTTTGAGGTCAGGGTAGGTGGCTTCCACTGAAATGTACTCCATGTATCTGGCAAAACCTTCATTCAGCCAGATGTCGTTCCACCACTCCATGGTCACCAGATTTCCAAACCACTGCATGCAAGAATTAGAATTTTACTAGTGTGCACTGACTGATTATGTAACACCGTGGTTTATGAGTGTGTGACCTGTTGCTGAAACACATAATCCTGATCGTCATTAGTGTGCAGATACACTTTTATACTCTTACCTGATGGGCGAGCTCATGGCCAATCACCATGGTAACCCAGAGTTTATCAGAAACAGAGGATGTGAGGGGGTCAAAGAGAAGGCTTGTCTCTCTGTAGGTGGTCAGACCCCAGTTCTCCATCGCACCTGACTGGAAGTCTGGGATAGCAATTAGATCTGAGAGAGAAAACACCAGTTAGGAGGTAGAGAGTGATGGGGCAAAGAAATACTTTGTAACTTCGCTGCAGAAAAAAAATTGAAGTAAGGTTCACCTTGTTTGGGCAAAGGATAGCGGATGTTGAAATACTCCTCGTAGAAGTCCAGCATTTTGACAGCAACCTCCAGGGCGTAGTGGGTTTGTTGCCACTTCTCAGGGGCAGCATAGATGGACACCTACAGTGGATGATGAAACAAACAAACAAAATGCCATTTTTGATTCAGAAAGTCAGATTTTAAGCAATAAATGTAGAAATATCATATGAGATATCATCATAGAGACCACACCTGCACCCCAGAGGATGTTGTTGCAGTGACAGACTTGAAGTCACAGATGACAAACGCTACGAGGTACGTGCTCATCTTTACACTTTCAGCAAACTGGTCCTCAAGCAAGCCGCCATTTACTTCAACTGTTTTGACCTGAAATACACAAACACTTAACTGAAGCCTCTCTTTTTTCACACATTTGAACATGTGTGACAACTGACAATCATCCAACACTCACAACAGGCATGTTGGACAGAGAAATGTACTCAGGACTCCTCCTGATCCGAACGGAGAAATTGGCTTTGAAGTTCGGCTCATCGAAACAAGGGAACGCCATTCGAGCACTTGTGGGCTCGAAGTGAGTTGAAGCTAAGGTTCTGGAAAGAGACGAGCAGATACTGTAATACTGCATTGTTGGTTGCAACATACTTTTATGTGTAGGATGATCTATTATGCATGATGTGAAGCAGTGAACTTGGTCTCACCTGGTCTCTCCTTCACTCGTTCTGTAGGTGCTTTTGTAGAAGCCATAGAAACCTTCCACAAGCTCTGCCCCAAACTCAATATACAGGAAATATTTCTGTCCACTGCTGAGCACCCTAGGAGAGAAAATGCCTATCTGCTCATGGGAAGGGTTATGAAGAACTGGAAGAACCTAGAAGAGAAGGAGATTTTTGAGTCCACTGTACATAACAAAGACAAATCAGCCGATCTGCATTCACAACTACCTGCTCAGACAGATGGGCGAGATTCTGGTCTAAAATTGTGGCCTTGGAGATCTGTAGACCCTTGCTGTGTAATACAACCCAGTTTGTATTGTTTTGGACATCAATCTGGATTTGCACTGAGCCACTGAAGCTGAGACTTGTGAGGTTGGGGTGCAGGAAGAGGTGGTAGTGAAGAGGAATGATGTACCTGAAATTAAAAAAACACATGTTGCTTTTTAAATAAATGACTTAAAAGACAGATGTCTGACAACTTTCTTATTAATTTCTTTAATGTGGCTATTAAAAGACCGAGTTTGAAGCATACCTTGGCAAGCGAAGGCGACTCCAGGGGAAGGATAGATTACTGGGATCCAAAGGAGATTGTTCTCCTGCAGGATGAGGAGGACTTGACACCTGTTGTGAACTCTGGGTGGGCTGAGACCCAACCAGAGACACACTGAATAGACACAGCACCAACAGCCTCACAGAGGCCATTGCAAAGGGAATGTCCTTCAACACTGATCAAAAAAATGCCAACCCGTGTGACAGGCTGACAGCGACTGTTGATATCACACAATCATAGCCCAAATGCAGGGAACGACTGAGGACCACCTGGTGGGACCGTTGGATAATGATAAGGCTGAATAGAAATGTCAACGTCAGGGAATCAGGACTTCTTTTGTGAAACCTGAAAGACACGAGTGGAGGATTAATAGCACACATATCACTCAACAGGATTTATTCAGACAAGCCCATTACTTTTTCTGTAATCTAGCAGAGGTGTAATAATGTTTTGTTTCTTCCAATCATGTCAAAGGTCGCAGTGCTTACTATGAAACTAGGACAAACACTAATGGATGAATTCAAAGGTTACCGCCTGCTTCTGGTCCTGAAACAAACAACTTTCCAGACAGCAACAGTTACAATGACTCTTCATTCATTACTCCTCCTTCACTGGCTTTTTCTCATACACTATCGTAGGCTTTCAGGAAGTAAAATGCACTATGCCTTCATTAACTGCGCTGTACTAAAACACATGCTCAGTTCCTTCTGACAAACAGAGCTTTGTTGATTACTAAGCCGCAACACATCTCATCCTGAGAAAGACTCAAACAAAAACACCACATGACTTTCCATGTGGACAAAACAAGATGAGGACACAGCTATAACTGTAAGGTGACAACAGCTGCAGGAGCATAGCTGCAGTTCAAATCAGGTTGCATAGGCTCGAGCTATGTTGTACCATACTGAAAAGATAAAGCTCTCAGCTACAGCCTCTCTCAGTTAATCAGAAATACAACAGAGCGTTGAGGAGTGTTAAGACAGGGCAGTTCGTAAAGGAATACTTGACTTGTGCTTCCTTCAGAGGTCATGTTTTGGAGAAATGTGAAAATGCCTTACCTCGATCATTTTAGCTTCATCATGCACTCTTCATGTGCCTGCTGTTAAGTTTCACTTTCTCTTTAAGCTCCCTCCCTCTGCTGAGAAAAAAAACTGCCTGAGTGTGTCTGATTGTGTGCGTGTGTGTGTGTGAGAGAGAGAGACAATACACTTTAGCTTCACATGTTTGGACACATGTTAGTGAATTACAGCTATGACATACATGTTACATGCTGCTGAGGTGGTCTGTACTGGAACAAATACTGTACATGCTGAAAAAAAATGTGTGTGTGTGTGTGTCTGTGTGTGTGTGTGCAGGTGTAACCTACAAGAGTGTTGTCTAATGTTCTGGGTGCGTTGATATAATCAGTCTCTTACCTCAGATCTAACAGCCGCAGGCAGGTGTGTCCCCAGTTGTTGAACTTATTCTTCACTGACTTTCTACTGTCCACAGTAAAGTCCTGTCCCCAGTTTTCTTTTTTTTTCTTTATGAAAACAGACACAGTGAAGCTGTGTGAGAGCTCCCACTGTCCTCCCCTCTTCCCCTCTCTCTATTCCCTGTGCCAGTGTCAGTGTTTGGGTTTGCGTGTGCCTGGGTGGGGGTAAGGGGGTTCCATTGTTAGCATAAGGTCACAACAATGAGACATGTCGATCCCCCACAATGCAATGCTCCTGGCAAAGCCAAATGGAATGCCCCCATTTAACACACTCATACAGAAGGCACACAAACACGCACAAACACACTCACACACAGAGCAGGCATCGATCAGCAATTATAAAAGTCACTCCAACTAAAGCGGACATGACTGAACCTTCCAGGGGTCTCTTTTACCTTCCTATCATCTATTTATGGACAGGTGAGAGCTTTTCATTTTTAACACAATACATACATACTGGGAATCAATAGGAAAGAAAATGCACTAGTTAAAGTCAAAAGTGTCCACCATATCAACTTTGCTTTGTTTTTTTTTTTGTTTAAAACACAGCTGCACTATTTCTGATTAATCATTAAGTCATTTTAAGTGAAGTCAGTAGCATTTATAATTACAAACACACAACTTACTTCAAGACTAGTATACTGTGTTCTCTGTCTTTTGGGTTTTATATTATCTATGGTAGCAGCCTACATTAATACATTAACATACCTAGAGTTGTGTCAAGTAATCATGTTAAATGCATTAAGCATTTAATTCTAAACTTTTACAGCATAAGCTAAACAACAAATGTGCAATTTTTAGGGAGAACGCTGTATTCTACATTTTCTGTGCCTCAGTGCAGCAATGCAGAGCCTCACACGACTCCTTCTGCTAGACAGACACAGAACAAGACCTCTTTGCATCCTAACCAAATTTCGTTTTTGCCTAATTGCCCTGGCTCAGGAGGAGTAGACGGTGATGTCCTGGCATCTCTGGCCCCTCCAGTTCACCTGTCAGGGGAAAGGCTTGGCTGGACCCTGCTGGTCTGTATGGTGAGTGACTTCAGGAGAGGACGTCTGGAGGTCAGGTGGAGATCAGCATCAGAGGGTCACATGTCCACCGGACCGTACAGTGTTGCTGTTACCAGGAGGCATCGCGGTAACAACGCCGTGGCAATAATCACAGTAGCCACCAGTGACTGGCCATCGTACAGTTGCTCTGTGAGTCACAGGCAACGCTCAAAAGTCAGGAGGAGACACCACATCACCTCAGCAGGTAAAGTTTGATCAGATATGAACACATCAGTCTTAACGTAATTGTAGTTTTTGCAAGTTTAATTTAAGCTTTTTAACACATTTCTACCATTTCAGTTGATCATAACAAGAATTGCTATAAAGATGAAGAAATAGAAGGTAAGATTCAGTTGTTTGCAAACAACTACAATTCCCTATGGCTGATTTAGATGACTTATGTTCGTCTGTGTGGTTTGATCTCCAGATATTGATGTGAGGACGAATACGGTGGTTGTACTGGCCTTGAGGCTGCTTCTTATGAAGATCATTGTCTTTGACGCTCTGATGACCATTTATGTTGTTATTAAGTGGTAAGAGTCTAATTAATTAAAGAAATATGTGGCATGTGTCCCTTCGTATGCAGGTAACTGGGGGGTCATTTGTCATTATAGATGCAGTGTAAGTGCATGTGGCATTGTTAGTATTTCGTAAGTCTTAACAGTGTATTTGACTTTTCAGATCGTCGGCACTGAAGGGTTTTTGATGCCCCATGAAAAGAAAACTAACCCAACAGAAGGGAACTGTTTCTTGTCTGAAGTCTCCACAGAGAGATCTGCTGCGCTCCAACATGATGAGTATGTGCCCGTCCTCATGGTTGACTTCATGAAGATGGTTTTACAGTGAGGTTTTTGGAAAGTTACATGTATTAAATGGCAACTGTTTCACTATCAGGATCACAGGAGTACGTTTTGTAATGCGACAAACCTTTAGTCGCGCCTTTTTCAGCCTTTTCACACTGGCGTCCCAGGTGTTGCCGACGATGGCAGTTGAAAACAGAGCAAGTTTGTGAGGCCAAACCTGGTATCTGATTGAAGCCTAACCTCAGACAGATGGTTTAATGCTCCTACTGTTGCATATATGTATGTGTCTTTGTGAGAGCACATGTGTGTATAGTCTCACCTGCAATACTGAATTTCTTGAATTACCAAAATAAATAAATAAATGCATGTGGGTTTTTGGAAGTTTACACTTAAATTCACTTTTGAAGTATTTGCATTTTGCTTTTTATAGTCTTCACTGTGAAATTAATGAACAGAAAGTAAGCTTGGGCTGTTTTGACTTTATTGTTTTTTTTTAAATAAAACACTGGCAAACAGTTTGTTTCCTCAATTTTTTTTCTTTTTTTTTTTTTGAGCGCCTTTAGTAACACACTGACATAGCAACAGAGCACCACTAGGTGGTAGTACAATCACATCTGACATTTTTTTTAAATTATTATCCAACAGCAAGAATATGGAGCTTAACATCCTCTACAGGACACTACGTTCATAAATAAGTTAAGTATTTCAACATTGACCAGTCACTCTTCACCAAACTGACACTCACACATGATGTAAGAGATCACAAAGCCAAAAAGGGAGATTAAGCTTATATGATCAAACAAATTGGGCAGAATTATACAGAATGTTTCATGTCAAAAAGGCTCATAGTCTTAACGTTTGACATTTCTCCTGGGTATCAAATTCCAACAACACAATGCTGAAGCTCAAACCCCAGCACAGTGTGGTGAAGTTATTCTCAGTGTTTTCTCTCCAGTATCTTACATGGATCCTAATAAGGAGCCGTTTGTCAGTTCTGACAGAAGGAGAAAAGCAGTCTACAGTAGCAAATTTAAAACCTTGGGAGAAGGAGACTCTGAGAGGGAGGCAGGTGCTGGTTTTGGTGATGAGTTATGATTTCCTTTGTACATAAAAACCATGTTATCTGTCTTTGGCTCAAATTATCACAACAACAAAAATCACTGAGTAGAAAACATGAGCCGGTTTAGTCACAGCATCTTGGCAGAAAGGTTTGGAGTACCTCTAATGTGAATCAGATGCAATAAAAACACATTCAAACATGTCACCAACCAAAAAACAGAGCGTGGGCGCACACACACAAACACACACACACACGCACACAGTTGAAATCAGGAATGAGGAGAAGCAACAAGTTCACGAAGCAACAAAATAGCACTGATGGCAATTGCTGTGACGATATTCATAATACATTCAACAGAACAGCTCACATCGACTGACTTAAAATGAGAGGCTGAGTCAAATCAGCTAAAGGAAGAATGGCGCATTTCAACAAAAATGGCAGCTCCTAGTATTCAATTGTCTTTCACTGTGAATGGATCAAAAACTAAATTACAGATGTCCAGAACTTGAGCCATTGATGATTTTGGTGAAGGACAGCGAGTGAAAGAAAGAAACACTGATGTGGATTTGTGAAAAAAAAATGAAAATAAAGTGCTTTTGTTAAAACAAACGTCCTCTGTCTGAGGTATTACAAAAAAAATCACATCAAATGGCACAAAAAACATACTCTACACCATTACACTGTGCACTGAAGACAAAATGAACTATTTACAGTCAATTCACCCACACAGAAACATTTGTGTCATTGTCAATTGCGTTCTATCCAAAGATGAAGACAGATTGTAGAAGCTGTCATCACGTCTTCTTTGTTTATTCTCTACCTCCAGAGGGCTGATTCGGCAAAGTAAGACGCAGTTAGTGTTGCCAGTATCTCCTGTGCCCACTGGGAGGTCTGTCACCTCTTCTAAAAAAAAAAACACTTCTAGTTCCCAGTAACTGTCCAGTCCACTCTGAACGACAGAGGAATCAGCGTTCAGTATCAGTGCTCAGCGAAAAACTCCCAAAACTCTCTTTCTAGTGCACACACATAAACAAAGCCCACATGCATGCAGGCACACTCAAAGACTCCCACTTTCAGATCAAAGCAGCGCTCAGAGCACACACCAGGAGCAGAGCAAACTGTTTGATAAGGTGAGAATCAGAGTGCAAGGTGGAGATGGCAGCGCTGCGGGGGTAGATCCTCCATCTATCCCTGTGTGGATGCAGACTCTCCATGTCCTTCTGGGCGCTGTACGCTGCCACTGTGAAGTTAACATCCCCGGTGGTCAGGAGATCAAACACGCAGGAGTGGAAGTAAATGTCCTGCACCTCCAGCTGCTCCCTGCAACGCTCCTTCGCCCCCTCCACACCAAAAACCTGCGAGGCACCGTAGGGGGATGCTTGTGTCAGTGATGAGTAGCTCGGCCGACGCAGCTGCTGGAGCTGCAGGCCTAGCGCAGGAGGGGAGATCGGCAGGGGAAGGTGCCCCGCCTGGTCGATGCGCTCTCCGTTGGGGCAGCCGTTCAGACAGAGCTGCAGGTCCTGGGTGGCATCATAGGCCTGAGCCAGCTCCTCGGGGATCCGCACCGCCAGGGTTAGGTAGCGCCCCAGCTGGCGAACAATTACAGTCACACCGATGTAGCCGGCGTGCAGCTCCACATGGCGTCCTGGGCTGCGCTCAGAGATCCACAGAGCCCGGACCTTCCCAGACACACCGTCTACGCCGGCTGAAGCGTGGATGGGGTCCCCACTGCTCACGGTGCCATCGTCAAAGGCAGCAGGGAGGTTGTCTGTGACGGCCTGGTAGACCCTCTGGTCTGTGCAACCCTCATAGGGCTTGAAGATGATGGTGATCTATAGAGCAAGAACAAGACAGAACATCAGTTAAGTTCTAGAGACATTCAGAGTTTAAAGTGTGTTCAATGAATGACAATTTTAAAATGCAACAATTGATATACAGTTTACTCTTACAGTCAGTTCATTATTTACTAGACAAACACAACTTTCATTGACATCATGAATGGAGCTGAATTGAAAGTCAGAACCAATTGCTATGTTATATATAGTTCCTGGAGTGTGAGGACTTGCTGCTTTTCTTTCTCACACATGAGAAATTTCTCTAGGATTTTGACAGCAGGTTGAACAAAACAAGCAATTTAAATGCTTTACTTTGGGTGCTGGAAATTTTTCAATTTTTCACATTTTACACAATAAATGATTGAGCAGCCAATGAAGAAAATAATTGGAAAAACTAATCAATAACAAAAATAACCATTAGTCGCAGCCCTGAACTAATAGAAATGAATAACCTTTGATTAGTGCTTGAAATCATTTTTCAAGCAAAAAAAGACATTCTCTGTTTACGATTTGCTACTTTTCTCTGTTTGTGATGTTGTAAATTGAGCATGTTACGATCAGAAAATTAAAAACTGAACTCTGACAGTTTCATAGACTAAACCATTAATCAATGAATCCATGAAAAAAAAAAACAAAGGCAGGTAGGAGAGGTGAGGTAAACACACACACACACACACATGAAGATTAACATTCACCCACTACACAGGTTATTGACTCTCATCACACTACATTTGAGAAATGACTTAATGACTTTTTAACAAGTTGTAATTTGACACAGCTATGCAAACATGCCGACACATGTGCACACACACACATATAGAGGGCTTCGGTGGTGAGTGGAAGCAGTGCTGGATGCAGGGTGTGGTGTGAGCATTACGGTTAGCACTAGCATCATAGTTCCGGTGAATGGCTGCTTTGTTCACATGACAGCCGTGAGGAATGAGCGCTGGCAGGCCATTAAGCCTGCAGGGCTGTTAATGTGTGTGTGTATGCGTGTGTGTGTAGGAGTGTGTGTGTGTGTGTGTGTGTGTGTGTCCCTAATAATCGTGACTAATAACTTGCCCCACCTCTGACACAAGGTCAAACCTTCAGCTCTACCAGTGTAGCAAACCTACTATTTGCTTAATGTGTGTGTTTCTGTCAGTGTGCGCTTGACTAAGTGTATGCAGGGGTGTGTATGTGCTTTAATAATTAAAGCCATCGACTAAGCTAGAGAGGGCTGATCATCGGGGGAAACATCAACATTGCTTCTTTAACACCACAAAGATCACCTTGTGTGGCTCGTCATCCATTTGGTGTTGTGTATGTGTGTCTTTTCTGTTGTTCAGGTACCTTTAACACACACTGCGCTTTAAGCTCAGTGCAAGGAGTGCCACTTATGAACTTATGGGACACACACACACGCACACACAGACACACAAATGCTTGCAAACACACACATAAGTAAACAGTGGGCCCTTTCACACATCTCATTCCATGTTATTAGAGGTCAGGCTATATGCAGCCATTAACCAAGTTAGGTTTCCAACACTGCCTCAGTCACAAGAGACAGTCACAAGATCGAGGCTGTTTGCCTCACACCTGCAAGTCTGTGAGAGACTTCGAGAAAGAGAAAGTAGAGCAAGGAGAGCGAGGGTGTTTTCCAGTCTTGTACTGATAAGACTTGGAGGCACAGCAAAGAAACTTAAGAGTTCATTGTGGAAACACACATACAGAAATAAACTCGATTACAGCAGCTGCTCTCACTTAGGAAGCTCTTCCATCCTTAATAACAGCAAATTAGGCTCCAAAAAGCCCATTTCACAGTTCTCACCTTATTGGTTGCTGTGGCGCTGGAGCCGGGAACCACAGGGACATTAGTGACCTGCACCGACAGATAATCATTATCAATGAGAGGCCATGCCCCCTCCACCTTACAAGTCTGGAAGCTGTCCTTAAATGTCCTCAGATGCGGGTCCCCGAACAGCCCGCAAAACAGGTACCCAGGCCGAGTGTGGCTGTGGCTGTGGCCGTGGGTGTGAGAGTGTGTGTGTGCGTGGGAGTGTATGTGGGCATGCTGGGTGCGACTGTGGTAGTTGCAGGGCTCCAGGTGGATCTCAGGGTGTGTGGAGGAAGTGGGCCCATCTCTGGAGCAATTCCTCTGGCTCATGAGGTCTGAGATGCCCAGCACGGCCGAGTGGAAGACCAGGTTCCCCCGGCAGGACTTGGCCGTCCTCTGGGTGCAGGCCGAGTACGCGCGTAAAGCCTTGCAAAATTCGGTGTGAAAACCATCCACGGCTGGAGTGAGGTGGGAGGTCAGGGAGACGAAGTCGGTGGTGCACTTCTGGATACGGCATTGAGGGGTGGCCACCTGGCACTGACCTGGAGAGGACACACGGATAGAGTCAGAAATACTGACAGGAAGCCATGTTGTTACAATGATAAAGGTGTCTGACCAGCTGAAAACAGCTAAAAACATACATGTCTGACAATTTACATTTTAACTAGACAGAGAACCGGATCTTACTGGAAATGGAAAGTTTGCGCACTTACATAAGACAACTAAGGTTATAGTGTGAAGAAGGCTTTGATCTTACACACACAATGGTACCAGCCTGTTACAGTCCAACCTAATAAAACTAGAAAAAGAACCAGCTGCTGATTGAAAGTCCTGATCAGTCAGCAGAGCCGCTCTGTGAGTGTAATAAACCTGAAGTGTAATAAACCAAAGAGCAGCCAGAGAGGAAAGACAAAGTACGTTTTCCCACAAGGAGTGAGATAATAGTGTCTGCATGGCCAAGGAGCACATAACAGATAGAAGGAGCAAGACAACGCAGGTGTGCTGCGCTTTGTGACGCTTCATAGTGTTCAATTTATATTCACTGTATCAGAAAGATGCCGATTAGGTTTTGAGGCATTGTGTTTGCGATGCTGTGCAGCTTTTGCAGAAAAAAAAAGCAAAATAAAAAAATGTACTATGATGAAATTTAATATCAACTTGTGTTGTTTTTTTTTTTTAGCTGATTTTTAACCAAAAGATTGATTATTCTGTCCTCATACCACGATTAGGAACATGCCCCTGATGTGTTATCTGTTTCTTCATTTCTGAATGTAACAAGGGTCAAACCAGCCTTTTATATCATAGATCATCAGAGAGAGAGAGAGAGAGAGGGAGTAAGAGTGAGAGAGAGATTAGAGACCAGACCTAATGCATCAGTCACAGCGTGCTCCTATTAGATTAGACCAGAGAGAGAGGCTCTGCAGTGTATGGGCAGCTGCATACACAAACACACACACACACACACACACACAAATAGCTATCTAAGAAAGAATGCTGGTCGTACTTCCGTTAAACGCACACAGTCAGTGATCTTCAGATGGTGGTATGATCTCCTAATGGCCGAGCCAAAGGCAGAAAGTCCATGGGTTTTTTTTTTCCCTCAATGTCACACCATCACTTCACAACCACAAGTTACCACTGGCGCATAAACACACACGAGCCAACAGCACATTCCTGCTCTTCTTTGTAGATTTATTTGATTTCGGGGCATGACGGAGATGGGTGCCACCATTTGGGGGCAGTACTGCTCTGAGTTGCAGAAATCAGGGTGCAGGTACGGACCCCCACTCGCACCACGCTTCAGAATCTCTCTCCTGCCTGTTAAATACTGACACCGACCCACAGATACACACACACATACACAGGCTGCCTGCCATGCCAACCACCACTGCACAGACGGTCTGAGTACTGAGGACACATTGTGTCTTTGACTGGCGCTCCAACAGCCTCCTGCTTTCCCTCCTATCTAGCCTGCAGTACCTAAATACTGCTTCCAATCTAATCAGAGGGGGGTTTATTCTCTTTCAGAAGGTATCAGGATCACGAGCTGCTCTAAAAAACGCACAAAAGCACATTCACTGACATTTTCCCAGTAAGATGGGAACTGACCCTGTAACTGAAGGACTCGGGTTCAAACCTCTGACTTATAAAGGTTAAAACTTTGCTGACGTCAAGCATCTGCTGAAGTTTACACCAGCTCCCACCGTGTCGCTCTGGAGCCTCCCTGTGAATTACATCAAGCAAAACGAGGAATTCCATCCGATGATTAGGTTCCGAATAAGATTATGGTTCTATATTAAAGCACAATTTTCTTATTTTTGTTCTTCAAGGATTTCCATGATCTCTCTTTTGTAAAAGCCGTCTTCTTAAGCGGCCTTTCTAAGTATTCATAGCTGTACTTTCAAAAGAAAATCCAATCTATGCATATAAATAAGCAATTTCTGATAAGTCGGGCCGAGGTGATGAATACTGAATTGGCTTGAAAATATTGTGAAGAACAGAATGAAGAACTGCTCATGTGAGGAACTCCTGTGTTTAAGCTTGGTTTCTATCATCCCCTGAGGTAATTCTAATAGAGACAGAATAACAGGGTCAGCAATGCTCACACCGATGCTTCCATGTCCTATATTAACCTTCCTGTTTCACCCTCATCCTCCTCTCACATCTGACTTTATCATATTTCTTTCAAAGCCTAGATTATTTCACAGCTTGAATCGCTTCCACCTCCCGCAGCACTATTCTGTTTTCAGCCTCGCTCCCTAGCCACCCTCCTCGCTCGCTGGTCATCTCGCCTCCTCTCTCCCCACATCCTGAGGCACCTTCTCCACCATCAGACAGAGGTCAAAAGATCCAGCGGCTGAATCTCCCAGGCTCTGTTTAGCAATTCTTTGTCTCCCAATCCGGCTGCCTCCAACTCCTCTGATCTCGGCAGATCAGAAAAGGGATCTACTGGGATCATCTCTCAACCGAAGGAATGGCTTGTGAAGTGCTTATTGATCACCTTGTTGTGTGCACTCTCTCGCATGCTGAGCTCAAATCACACAAACAGCCTCCCAAGCTTAGAGATACAAAGCTGTACAGCAGCTATGCAATCCTTCTCTCTCTCTCTCCCTCTCTGCTGCTCTCGGCTAGACACTGTGAACAATAGTCAACAATTCAGACACTCCAGCCTCCCTGTCTAAACAGACACATGGAGCTGCACGGAGCAACAATGAAATATGACTAAATAACCCGAACGCGTACAAGTTTTAACAAATAAAACATTCTGTTTGGCTCAACAGACTAAATAATACACATTCTTTCCAGGTGACGCATGTGTGGCAGTAGGTGCCAAGAGGGTCTTTAATGTGGAGTTGGTCTCTCTTGTTCCCACCAGGCTGTGTGCAGAGGCGGTTTTGTCCTGCTGCCTGAGCCGTGTTAAACTAATTACTGGAGGTGTGACTGCTCAACAGACAGCCGCCACTAACGCCGACCCCCTGCACACACAGAAACACACAGACCCGGCTGGAAAAAGAAAAAAAAAAACGACCAAAAAAACGCTGGCTTCTGGAAAGAGGACATGTCTTGCTTTTTGTGCCAAATGTAAAATGCATCTGTCTTTACCAAACAGAAATTAACCAGGAATGTGGCAAATCAGCAAATCAAGACCTCTGTATCACCATAGTAAAGGAGTCTGTCTAACAGAAAGGTTATATTTGAGTATCAATAATCCTGGTTGACACCTTATTAACTTTTGGCTTTAAGTTAAAAGACTGTTCTTTTGTAACATTTGTCTAAGATTAGCAGGAGGTTCAGCAGATGATAAACACGCATTAATACAAAGAGAAATCTGTGAAAGAGTTTTTAGAAAGGAAACTGCCAACAATAATAATAATAACAACATTCCTGAGGATGCATTCAAATAATCTGCATCAACTGGACATAAGCTGTGCTCCACAATAGGTTCAATCACATTTGCATCACACCACAACTTTCTATGATGAGCATCACAGGGATAGATTCAGTTCTTCCTCATATTGCACAGAATAAATCTGTTAAATACGGACATGAGGAGAGCTAGTCGCCCTCTCTTCCCCTCCTCCATGAGCCATTAAGGGGCAGACAGGAGAATGACGGCCCAGGAGAGAGGAGGAGAAACTCGATCCGTGCTCAGACTGCTGCACTGCCGCTGTAGAGAGAGCCATTGTCAGGCAGCACTGGGCCCAACGCAAGGATCGGCCACACTATGAACAATAATAACTAATAAAGTAGCTCAGATCACTATCAAGTGCAACAGACTGAGTGTTGTCACTGAGGTGACGGCGCAGCGCTCAGCAATTGGTTCGCAACTGAATAACAAAGTACGTAAAAAAAATAATAATAATAAAAGAAAATCACAGATTAGTTGCGACTATGACTGAGAGAACACAGTAGTTGTTGCAGTGTTGGAGTGGAGTTGGTTACCTATGTGAGCACCGCAGCACAGAACGATGATCAGCAGCAGCAGTGGCCGGAAGCGGCGCACCATAGACGGGGAGGCGAGGCGCTCAGCCCCGCGGCAACAGCATCCGGCTCTCCCCATCCCCGTCCATGCAGGGCCAGGAGGGGAGAGTGGACAGACTTCCAGAGGGCGAGGAGGGGTGTTGTCCAGGCCTTCTCACTTCTTCTTCTTCTTCTCCTTCTCCTTCTTCTTCTTCCTCCTCACTCTTCTCTCCTTCCTCTGCTCCTCGGGTGCGCAGGGGCATTAAAACACAGCTGCTCCGCGGAATGCAGGGCGGAGGGGGCGCACAGGCGAACAGAGGAGGAGAACAAAGTACAGCCACAAGTCACTTCGACGACACTTTTACTTTTTCTCTGTACAAATCCACACCCCCACGTGATTTAAGTGCGCTCCCTCGGCGGTCGGACTTTTGCCGTGATTATGATCACTCTCCTCTCTCGTCCCAAACACGCACAATCACATCTCTCTCTCTCTCCCTCTCTCTCCTCCCTCCCTCGCCAGGCCGGGGCTTCGCCTCCACTCCTCCCCCTTTCACTTTCTCCACCTCCTCCTCAGCCTCTCCAACAAATCAATAGAGAATCAACCAAACCCTGCTGGCGGAAAACCCGCCTACCACAGAGAGACACAGACAGAGTGAGTCCATAATGTAGTGAAGAAGTGAGATAAAAGTTATAAAACGTTGGTGAGATGCCAGTAAATCACTGTGTGTACAGAAGAGAGTAATGTGCTTCCAATGTAGTGCCACCTTTGTATCTGGCAGAGTGACAGCTGATAAAGACAAAACTGGTTATAAGCTGTTAGGGTTGACATGTGTGTCCTCTTGTGCGTAAAACATGCAGAAAACTACAAGAAATCACCACAATCTTTGTTTTTCTCGCTGCTTCTTTAACGCAAGACAACACTGATAAGAATAAGAACAATCCTTCCACCTGAACAACGAAACTAAACATATTTAAATGTCTGAAAAGGGAGTTGTTGCAGCCAGTAAACCCAGCAGTAATTATGTAAATTAGTTTTACAAATGTCCCTGTAGATTCTCAGTCATGCAGGTCATGGAAACCGCAGAGCTTCAGTACAAAGCAGCTGGAGAAGAGGAGTCGAGATCCCTTGTACTGAACTTTTTTAAAAGCTCTAATAGTTGTTCTAATGGCTTTTTATTCCCAGACATATAAACGGTTTGGAGGAGCAACATGGCATAGAAAGAAAATAAAAGAATACCAGCATCATCCGAGAGATAACAGCAATAAAATGTCCAGAAGGGATCAGCATACACGATTGATGTTTGACTGTATGAAGCTGCAGTTAGGATTTTCTGTCAGTATGTAATGCAATCTTGCCTTAATGCATATAAAATTGTGATTTATACGGTGTTTTCCACAGGAAAAAAACCTCAAAGAACCCGTAGAGATGTACCATAACTCATAGCTAACATGCTATTTTTGATTTGTTTTATCTTCTGTTGTTTTTTTTTCAGAGGCCTCATTTTGAGCTTGACACGATGACGCAAAAAATACAATCTAAACATCGAAATGAAAAATATTTCTATAATCCTAAATAAGAGTTTATGTTGATTATAGCTTTTCATACTACTCACAACTTTTAATGTAGGACGGTTCCCTGTTTTTCTGTGATATTAATCTGCCTTTGATGTGCTTGAGCCAGTGGCCAAATAAGCTGGCTATTTTGTGGGAGAAATATTATTAACTAGTAGGTCTCCACTATCAAGAGGCTGAGTCCATATTTGAGTTGTTGTTTAATGTTTGCTGATAAACCCCTCCAGGAATTCACCCTGTAGCTTTAATCCCAATTATTATTATATTGCAGAAGTAAAAAGTTGCACACCAATTCTTATCTGTGGATTTGGCAAAAAAAAAAAGCAAAAAAATAGTGAGCAGAGAACAGAATGTAATGTGAAGAGACCACGACTGTGACACAAAGCAAGTAACGACACAGAAAGAAACAAAGCATCTCACACAGAAACAGTCATAAATCTATACAACCAAAAGAACAAAACCGCCGATAGAACGAGGTGAGCAGAAAATGTAAACACCCTCCAGCGACGATGACAGACACTGAATATATGCAAAACAGCTTGTACCTGGTTATTGCCATTGTTCCCTCCAACTACAGCTATAATTCATAAATGAATAACTTCCCACCAACTTTATGAAGGCAACTGAAATGCATTTTAAAACTTTTTATTGCAAAGAACTTGAACCTGAGCCAAGCTCTGTTTTTCAAAGAAAGGTTATGAAGTTGGACAGGTTTCAAAGCGAGCACCGAAGCAACTACAGTTCAAGATAATTTTTTACCTCGTGTGCATTTCTACGCGGTGTTTGTTCTGTGTCCGTGTGTGCTGCAACACTTTGCTACCTTCCACCAAACTCTGGCTTAACCAGCTCGTGTGTATGTGCATAAGTGTGACTGCATTGCAGCAAATAAGGCTTCTCTGTAGCTAATATTTTATGTGCTGTGTGTCAAAGCTGCGGTAGTTTCACTCTAACATGACTCACCTTCAGTACTTACACTCACATCACCGCTTTCCATAAGTCTGGTCATGGCCACTCGTTCCATACTGATTGTGTCAGTAAAATAAACACTCACAGTCACTATAAAGCTCATGAAGATTTGTCGGTAAGTGTAGCCAGAGGAGATGATGTGTGCAACTCAAACAGGCTCTGATATTAGATTATGCAGTGCTAGCTTCCTGTTTGTGCCAGAAGCCTCTGATCTCACCGGTGAGAAAGTCTGCGTGTGTGTGTGTGTCCGTGAGTGAGAAAATCTTGTCCGATGTGTTTTTGTAGTGTATACGTTTGTATAATGTGTATGCAGTTTATGCCTTTAGAGCAGGCCGGGATAGGGAAACAGATGGGTGAAAAATTAAAGGAAAAACTTCTGTAAGGAACAGGAGGGGTTCCTGAATAGTTTAATGAGCAGTGGGTGAACTTAACTAAGTGTTTTTGTTTAAGTACTGTATGTGATTACAAGGTAAAGAGAGCAAGGCGTTTTTTTCTGGCTTGAGTTTTACATTTAATGCTATTTTATGTCTGCACCAACATGAGTAACACACATTTTGTTGTATGCAGAAGACGGTAAAGGCTATCTAAAACATCTGACGTACTTTTATTCCACCACACTGTAGAAGCAAATATTGCACTTTTTAATTCAATTCAATTCTCTATGCTTTATTGGCATGATTGTCAAGTTAACAATTTGCCAAAGCAACAAGGATTGTGTAATTTAAGAAGAAATGAACATGGGTGAGGAAAAAAGACAGATGAAGATGATATAGAACATGGGATAAGTAATAAAACGGCAAAAATGAGAGAAAAAAAACAGCGTGTGCATGTGTGCGCCGTATGTACAAAAGGCTGCTTTGAAAAAATGTCATCTTCAGTGGTGTTTTCATTAAGTGCCCTTCAGCTTGTGACAGTCACATGTTGTGCAGCTAACTTTGCACAACACAAATCTGTTTCTTTTCATCGTTGCCTTGTTCTTTAAAGTTCGAGATGAACAAGTCAAGCTTTGTAAACGATTCCAGTCTAATATCACTATATTTATGACACTGTTGAAGAGAACACTGTCTCTCTCTCTCACCTGTCTGCAGTGACCACAGACTCTTCTTGGACACATTGCTTCTTGTGTGGTTTTCTCTCAGTAGTTCGACTGAGGTCACTGAGTCTGTATTGTATCAGGATCTGTCTCTGATTTGCATCTGTGACAGCAAAGAGACGTTTTTTGCTCAGTTTATATAAACGGTTTAGGGCCAGGCGGCAATAAAGTTTGTTTTAGTTTTGCTTTTACTTCTTTAATTTTGCAGATGAGCATGGTTTATTAGTGCAATCATTTGATGAACTTCACTACATTTACTTGAAAGCTGCAGTTACCAGTAACTTCTCAGATTTGTTTATAAAGTGTGTTACATTTGTCTATTAGCTAAACCTGCTGCATCATGCTCAGAGTCATGAGGGTCTGGATCTGACTTTGGCCACGTGCACCATGGAGGTCGCCTGTCCACAGACAGACAACCATGCACACTCACACTCACACCTATGAATATTTTTTAATCACCAATTAATTACAATGCATGTGTTTGGAATGTGAAATGAGCCCACAGCACCCTTGCAGGTCCAGTCAAACTTCTTGCTGTGAGGTCACCAGTGCCAGACTCTGTGAGGTGTTGTTTTAGCTTGAACTGCCCAATAGCATAAAAAGTAGTTTTAAAAAAACAAAACAAAACATTTTTTTCATCTTATTTAACTAAATGTTGTATACACCTAATTGCCCTGGTAATACTGAGGGATTTCTGCTGACAGTACTCCATTACTTCAACCCTATTCAGGACTTTTGGGGTCTTTTGGACACCAGGCCATTTGGTTTTGGTGACAGGTATTGTTTTTTTATTTTTTAAGATTTTTTTTTTTTACGTATAAAAAGAAGGACATATGTCATGCATTTCGAACCAAAAATACGTCAACTTAACAGAAAATTTTTCTTTAACATAGTATAAAAGTCTATAATGAATACCAACAAATATTTTGCACATATTCTTTCTTGGGGTCCAATGTACCCCGAAAGACCTTCTACGTACGGTAACATGACAGTCGTGAATAGAGTTAAGGATAAGAGCTCACTACTAGAGTTATTGATCATGAATCACAAAGTTTACATCTAAGTTTTTTCATTGTGAGTTGTTTTGTTTTCCTCTCTGCAACTATGTCTTTACTGTTCACTATCAAATAAATCTTCTTCTAACAAGCGTTTATTTTTCCATCACTGGGATCAAATAATACACACATACACATTGCACGGTGACTGTAAATGAGGTTGTATCTTTGAGAAAGACGGTGTTCATCCAGCCAGTCGAAACCGTTTGAGGCTCCTCGTGGTGAAACACTCTGCTGATGGACTTAATGCTGTTCAACTTTAATGTGCCACCCAGCTGTACATCCTGGATACCAAATATCAGGAGGGGAATTGAACAAGCAGGGTTTTTTTTTTTGACTCTTACACGTCCTCTCTGACCAGCCTGTCGACCTGCTGTGCACCTCTCGGCAGAATGAACACTACTCAAACATTTCATTTACCCTAACACACCCAACACAGAGTGGTTAATTCAATTACACGTGTGCGTATGGTGCTATTCATCAGGACTAATTTCAAATTTCATTCTAATCACACATCTGCCTACACGGACACACGTGCCCACACAAGCATCTAGGTAGCACATGACCCTATTCATGGAGATTAATTCTATATTTCATACTAATTCATTTAATCAATTACACCACAGCTGAGACCAGGGAGCAGGAGAAACCAACTCACCCCCTCCTCACACACACACACACACCTCCCCTAAAAAGCTGCTTTTTCTCGGTGCATTCACACACTGGCCTCAGGCACAAAGACAGTCTGTTTCTGAACGTCCAGCTTGTCTTCACCTCCACACCTCTGCCTCCCTTCTC